TTCTTTCTTTCTTTTTTTTTTTTTTTTGAGACAGAGTTTCTCTCTTTTTACCCAGGCTAGAGTACAATGGTGCGATCTTGGCTCACTGCAACCTCCGCCTCCTGCGTTCAAGTGATTCTCTTGCCTCAGCCTCCCAAGTCGATGGGGTTACAGGTGCCCACCACCATGCCTGGCTAATTTTGTATTTTAATGGAGATGGGGTTTCACCTGGCCAGGCTGGTCTCGAACTCCTGACCTTAGGTGATCCGCCTGCCTCGGCCTCCCAAAGTGCTGGGATTACAGGTGTGAGCCACTGCGCCTGGCTGAAAACTGTACTCTTATTTGTTTTTAATTTTTCCTGCTTAACTTCCCTTCTCTCAGGCTTTCTCTTTGACTGCAGATCTCAGTCCACCTCCCATTAACTTTTCTGATTCTATGGTTGTGGCCAGTTCTGAGCTGGAGACCACATTTACCCACTGCGTTGTCTATCTGTGTTGCTTTTTTTTGATGAAGCATTTGCTAATCTGTGAACTACAGCCTGCAGATATTACCCTGTACTATGGTGACTGAATGTTTGTTGCATTTTAGTCTAGACACACTGTTGTACATTTAGCAGAGCAAGAGAAATTGGTGGAACTCATGATTAGGTTATGTTTTCTTCAGAGTTGTAAGGTTCTTTTCTCCTTTGGAAGTCTTTCAATCATTATAGCCATTGTTACTGCTAGGTACTATAATGAGGCTTGTTTGTGAGATTTTGATAGCAGAGCAAGGGATCCAAGAATAAATAAATCCTGCTACAAGCCCAAACCACCTGTTCTTCAAAGTTTTCTAGGTCAGATACACATGAAAGATAACTGCCAGATGCCTAGGCGAGCGGGTATGGCCTAGAACAGGCCTGAAGAAAACTTACTTCCTTATTCCCAAGATGAAACCAGTCAGTTGTGTGACAAGAAAAGTGGCCAGATTATACAGGAGCAGGTTCTGAGTGAGTGTTTGCTTCAACCTCATGGGCTTGTGAAGAAAGAAGATTCACAGAACCATGCACATCTCCCTTTAAGACACAGTGACCCTGCCTTTTGGAAAGCATGGTTCCTGGAGAATCCTGGAGAAGCTAGGGAGTGAGGCTGGGATTGGGAAGGGGCCTTCTAATCCCATCCGTACATTCCAGTCATATTTCAGCCATTGTGTAACACGTTATAATTTTGTCACCCTTTGAGTTATATTATTATTGTCATCATTTTACTGATGAAGAAACTATGGGTCAGAGAGGATACAAGACTTGCCCATGAATTATCCAGTTTGTAAGTGGTCCTCCAAATGCAAAAGTCCTCTGTTACACTATGACTGCCCAATATTATAACAGAGATATAGATTGCTTCTGTGAATCCAATTTTGTTTGCCTTTCAATAAAGGAACAGTGCAGTAGTTCATTTATAATTATCAAGGAGGAGCTTGGCATCCTATGTAAGAGAGCAAGTGGAAGTTTTGTAATTTTAAAAATATTTCCATTACATATTCCTTGAGGATATTTAGTAGAAGATAGGAAAACTATGTAAAATTATTATTTATGGTTTCTAAAGCCTGTTGATTACTATTTCTATAATTTGTGACCCCTCAAATTCCATTAACCATTCAAAGACTGCATTGAGCTTCACTCCTCCTGAGTCAGGCTTCAGGAACTGTGATAAAATATTTCAGCATTCACATGTGACAGAGTCAAGCAAATCAACAAATGTGCCATACCCATACAGAACGGGGAGTCATGGATTTATCAGTATGGCTTGGACAGCTTTGGATGAAAATACTTTCAGAGATTGAATTAACCTCCAGAACACTTGCCTTGGGAGGATAGATAGTTAGTACATTTCCGACATTCTTTATACTCTGTTTTCAAATACCTCTTATTATTTAACTGCTACATTTCACCCCTTCAAATACATGTTCTGTCACTGGAAATATGCAGTATAATAAATGAAAAATCCGAGTGGAACAATGTAAGAAATGAAAGATTATTTTTTAAAAACAGTATTCAGATTTTAATAATATAGGATTATTTTTCTTAAGTGCCTTTATTTTCCTAGGATAAGTGATGTTAGCATTGAAAGGACTTAACTAATGGAGGTGTATTGTGAATTTTTAATAGCTTATTTAAAAATTACTTGTTTGTTTTTTTCTTCTCTTCAGAATTTTAGTTGCATCAGACCTCTGCTGCATTTTTTCTTAGTTGGTGTTATTAAACCAATCCCTCAAAGAGCTTCTTTGTTAAAATTTGAGTTGTAACTTACTTTTAAATCTTATTAGAGTTAATTTTTGATAATTTTTATCCTACTTGCTTGTTGTATTATAAATTCTTTCTTATTGTTTCTGTTGGCCCATTGTGAATATTATGTTTCAGGTTATTGAACCATAGACACCTGTCATTTAGTAGCAGTGTGAAATGGTTTTTCTTTAAGACTACAAACATTTACTTAGTTTAATTGCCCTTATCTTGAATTTTAAAATGTTTCTGCTTTATTAAGATTCTTTAATTGAAAATAACAGTTAGTAAAAAACTGATTAAAAAAGTTCACTTGTCTATAAAAATATTATGTACAGTATTAATCTAATTTTTTTTTTGGGAGAGGAGTTGCTTTATGTTCTTTAGCTGAATAATTTTAATTTAATTGTAATGCCTTCAAGAGATTTTTATAAAACTCACAAGAGCTGAAATTTCAGCTCTGACAGGAACAGTGGCTTTTCAATGCCAGCTTGCAGGTATGCTTTGAGGTTTCCTGTATGAGTCTAGATATAAGATATGGAATTAAGAGTCTGTCATTTTATTCTGAGATCTTTTTACTTATTTTGTTATTTTAATGACAAATAAAATTTTTCTTTTTAAATTAATATATTAAAAATGAAGGATTCAGATTTCTCAGTGCTTGGACAATCTGCCTTATCTACTTTCATTTCTTAGTTTCTAGAATTCTAGTTGCTTAGGTTGGTGTTATAGAAGGCGGGCTTGAGTTACCGGTAATTTCCAGTTGTAATGTGGTGCTACTATTGGGTCCTGTGTGTCATTACTGAATCTTGCTGATAAACTATGCCTTTTAGGTTGTAAGTTTTATTAATTGATAATTTCAGGTGCAGATTTTCTGTGAAGATAATGAATCTGAACCTTCAGGGGCCCTCATTTGAATGCATGTCTTTCGAGGCTCTGTTCTTAATCTTGTTTTATAATTTTGTATTCTTTTTCTTAAGGAGGGCTCCACAGATTGTATAGGCTTCAGCCTCCACCACACTTTGGATCTGCCTCTGGTCAATATGTGAACTCTTTGAAAACTGAAAGAAAAGCAATAACAAAGATGAACATTTGATCTTTCAAAATCTTAGTTAAGGTATTCAGTAATGCCACATTTTCTTTCCTGGTGGAAGAAATGGCCTGGACAGTCATACCGATCAGCAGAACTGTGGATCTAAAACCAGATGTACAACTGATGATTTTGAAAGCATTGAGAATGGAGTTTTAGAGGCATGTAGTTATTGAGTGAGTTCTGTTATTTAGATAATCAGACTTTTGCCAAGGTTCTCTTAGAAAAATAGAGAATGTCAAACATTAGAAAGTTTTTGTGGAATATAGACATTCATTCCTTAATCTGTATTTTGTATGTTCCTCTAACAACTGTAATAATGTATGATTTTTTCAAGATGCCAGCTTTACTTCCCTCCCGCTAGCCACACTTGTACCTGTCTTAAGGAAATCCCCTGAAATGATGAGAATGTCAATGCACTATATGTATAATATGCAATCCTCACTTTATTATGATAGTATGGAAACATAACAAGGTATATGCAAGCTGAAACCACATAATAACGATCTTAATACTCAATAAAAATTATGATTGTTTTAGCATCTTTAAAAATGTTTGTCAAAACATTAAAAATTCTCTTATTGTTGGTTATCAATGAAGGGAGCTGAATATAATAGTAAAACTCATATTTACGTAGTATACTGTGATTTTGAACATTAGAAACATTGAGAATGGGGGAAGTGTTTTATTTATTCTTAAAAAACTTATCACAAGTCATTTGAACAATACTTGCCTTTTCAAAATGTAACTTTCTGTATAAAGGCAGCATCTTTTCTATCTCCTCGAAAATTGTCACCCTCCTTTCTAAGTTAGAATTAATTTCAAATATTTTATTCTTCCACTTTTACTATTGTGAGCAACGTACTAGAGCTCCTTTAATGAGGAGCTTTTGTTTGTTTCTTTGTTTTTGAACTGGTGTCACCTCCTCTGGGAGACCTTCATCCTTTTTGTTACAACCACTTTCCTCATTTATATTGATGAGTTCACCTTCACTAAGTCCTTTTGGCTGCATAGCTAGAGTCTCCCAAATGGCAGCAGTATCGACATTTCCATGGTCGCCTATTTTTCTTATAACTTCATTTATGTTCAGTTTGAATTCCACTTCCAACATTATTATTTGTCATTTCTTTGGTGGACTTTAATTTTTGTTGGCTACTTACTGCTTTTGATTATCCATTTTTGTAAAATGTCATGTAGGTTTATCACTGAGAGACAAGGAGGCAATATGACTACATGCTTTTCTGTCTGTGTGTGAACTGAATAACAGCTGTGCTGTTACCAATACTGACAGAATTTGAAAGAAGTGATGTGATCAGTGACTGGTTGTGAAGGTGCATCTGTTATTTTCTAGTGATTTGTAGACTGAAGATCAAGCAGCGAAGCTTGCACTTTGTGCAATTACTCGGTTAACATACTGTGGTAACTGAAATTTGAACTGTGTTGTGGAACTGGTGTAATTTAACTAAACCATAGTGACTGAAATCTGTGCATACAGGAACTGTGTGAAGCAAGAACTGTCTCTCATGATTTAAATATTTTAGTTCATTGTGGAGGAGCAACATTATGTTTTGTAACCACATTTGACTATTTAATCAAAGACAACTATATGATTTTTGTAGCGTTTGAAAGGCAACACAAAAGTGAAATCGATTGTTTCTTTTTTTCTCCCCCCAGTTTTATGTATGGGGAATTGACTGACAAGAAGACCATTGAGAAAGTAAGGCAAACTTTTGACAACTACGAGTCAAACTGCTTTGAAGTTCTTCTGTACAAGAAAAACAGTAGGTATCTCAATTATTAATAAGATGTGCCAACTCTTTATTAATATTACGTTTGGTAAGTCATAGTGGAGCTAAAATGTAGAAAGCATGTAAAACTTCTATTGCTTCTTTTCTTGGCAGGGGCAGAAGTTGCTGGTGAAATTAGATAATAAAATTAATAAATAATTCTACCTATGGAAAGCAACCTTTTGAGGAATGGAAGAAAAATGAGATACATCCTAAATATGACTTTTGTATCAGGAGCACAATATTTTGTAATTAATACTTATAATAAAGATCCTATAATTATGTGGCAACAACTAAAATTGACAGATACATGTATTAATTTCTTCTTATGGTTAAAGAAAATGGTAATTGCTAACACTGGATATGTGGAATTACCTTTCAACACAAACACAGGCAATGTGAATATGCGGTAGCTACTTGAGGGAAATCTCTACCAATACAGCCTTTTGCCAGTCTGAGACTCTTTTGTGAGAAAGCCTAGTAGAAAGTAGTCATTGTTCTCAGAACAGATCATTCACATTTGGTAAATGTGTATTGATTGTTGGGAACTTTCTCTGGCATGAGATTTGTATGTGGTAAGGTATTATATAATGACATAATATCTCATGATGTAGACTTTCCATCAGAGTTTGGAGGGAAAAAACCAACCCAACAAAAACCAAGTGTACTCAACAACTCAGTCCCCTTTCTAAATTCACTTTATTTGCATAGTTACTTACTTTTATTTTTTTGCTGTTTCCACAAATTTTTCTTTCTTTCTTTTTTGAAATGAACAGTCACTTCATAAGATGAGTCAACTTATTTATTGTTAATAGCAAATGATAGCAAAGTCCATTATTATCTTTGATGGAAATTGATGGTTACTAAATTCTTCCCAAGTTTGGAAAACATTCTCGCTTCAACAGGCAATGTCTGTTCCATGTTCAGTGCCTGTTGGATCTTGTGGAGCATAATTTATGCTGTCCATTTACTTGAAACATTTTTTATCTGTGGAATATTTGGAATTAAAATTCGATTTCTCTTTTTATTAGTAGACTAATAAAGGAATAACAGTGTTAGGCATTGCCTCAAAGTAGTGCACTTGATAATGGAAACATTTGTGTTTAGTAATTTTACTTAAGGAATGGCTTATCTTATCTTTCATTTTACATCAAGGCCAAAGAGATATTTCAGTTTGAAGTCATAGCTAAATGTCAGCTGGCTTGTCACCTAGAAAACAAGCCCTTCTGAATGGTCAGCTCTGTCCTCTGCAAGAGAAAAGGCAGGCTGTAGGTGCTTTCTGGGTCTTTTTTGCCAGGTCTAAATACATATTGATAATTTGTAGGAGACCTGTATACCAAAAAACCCTTCATTTTCATATGGTTTGTTAACTCTTCAATAATTTAGATATGTACTCCAAATTTAGCAAATAATGTAAGAATATTCCCTATAACTAAGGTCATTCACTCTCTGACATTTAAACAAAAATAAACAAACATTTGCCTGACTTTAAAGCCCCAAAGACAAGTCCATAGTTTCTGAGTTTCTCAAAAAATATCTTAGTGAAGCCTAGGTGACATAGCAAGACCCTGCCTCTTCGAAAAAAGAAAAGCTGGGCATGAAGGCACATGCCTGTAGTCCCAGCTACTCACGGGAGGCTGAGGCAGGTAGATCGCTTGGGCTCAGGAGTTCGAGGTTGCAGTGAGCTATGATCGTGCTACTGTATTCCAACCTGGGTGACAGAGCAAGACCCTGTAGTAACAACCACCACAACAAAATATCTTTGTGGAATTTGTGTTTGTTTACTTTAAATCATGTTAGTAATTACTTGAATTTTACATTTCCAGAAGTCCTTCCAAGGTAGTTTAGATATTTTGCCTTATGTTAATGGATTGAAATTATTATCTGACCATTGTTCAGGCCTATCTGGTTCTTTCCAGATAACTCTCTATGCAGATAAGTTCCTGCTTATAGCCAATAGGATATATACCCCATAGCATTGTAAATTAAAACTCATGCCTGCTTTCTGTGTGCTATCTACATTGGGTTGTGTTTTTGTTTTCCTCTTTAGTGAAGGATAGGTGTTATCCATGTATTATAATGGAGTTTTGCTATATAATTGCAGCTTTTAAAAAAGCTGAAAGGTTTTGAATATCAACTGAGAAAAATATGTTTTTGTGATTTTTAAAAAAATGTTACTTAGAAAAATTCACATCTGTAGAAAACTGTTTTGGGAATGGCTACATGCCAAGTTCTCCCAATACTTCCTTTAAGTAATTAGGTTAAACATCATTTTGCAAATGGGGGAATTGAGGCATCTGATTGAATATGCATCACCATTGAAATTTTAGTTTGCAGCCTCTGTTCTGTAGGTCCAGTGCTCTGATTAGCAGGGGGCTGTTTCTACTGTGGGGAAAGAAGATAGCTCTGAGCTTAAAATAGCTCTTTCTGTGTACTCAAAGGCAGAATTGACAGCTGAGGCTCCTCCAAGTCATCAATGCTGGAACTCTGCACTGAGATTCAGTGGCAGCAGGTTCCTCTGCTTAACCCTCCCAGACTCCCCAGCCCTCTGAACCCCAAATCCAGAATGTGAAGGATCTATCACCAGATACTTGGCAGATACTGAGCCTACTTGGGGTAGTATGACCCTGTGGCTTGGAAAGTTGAAAAACAATTACCTTCATATCTAAAGCAGTTTTAAAGAGAGCCTAGACTCTGCCAGAATTTGAAAAGTTGCAGTTTTCACAGGAGGGTATGAAATCTAACATCATCTCTTTCTGTTCGGATTTCTAACAGACCTTGGAAAATGACTTCTTTTTTTAGTGCCCTTTTCTCTTTGTTTATGACCCTTCTGCCTCAAGCTCACTGTGTTGGAATAGCCATAGGCCATGTATCCACTAACGTCTGGGCCTGGTGATTTGTAAAACTGTGCACATCACTCACAGTTCCTGGACATGCTGTGTAAAATACGAAAACAGAAAAAAATGAACAAGCCTCTAGGGGAGATGATGTGATTATTTTTGAGGTCTGTGTCTTATTCTACCATCATTTTGGAAAGGGCCACGTCCTTCCATAGGCCCCCTGGGGTTGCAAAAAACCTGATTGTCACAGCTGAATAGTCCCATAGAAATCTCCTTTCTCTAATTCTCTGACTTCTTGAGCTTGGTAGTTATCTCATCTTGTCTAAATGAAAAATTCCCCTTTGTGGTGACATTAGGTGACTTTTTAATTTTTTATTTTTTTAGGCTATGGGAATAGAAGTGCTTCTTATTCAGTTCTCAATGGAAGCTAGTAAAAGGCTAGGGTCTTACCTACAGACAATTAATAGCTGCATGTTTCACTCCCTAAATCCTAAACCTTATAAAAACCTTTATGTCTTAAAATAGAATATTTGGAGGGACTTTACTACACTGTGGCTTGAAGAAAATATGATGAGAAAAATGTCTCTTTGATTGTAATGTAAATGTGTCTCTTTGATTGTAATGGAACCTTCCTTCAGTGTTTTATCACCTAACAGATAATCACACTTTGAAGGCATTTATTGTGCCTTCACATATTTATATTTGTTATATGCCAGTTCCTGATTTGTCCAAATTGTAAGCCTTGAATACTTTGATACCCTCTGCCCTAGAGGACAGAGTCTGCAGTAGCCATCCTTTGAAGAATGTGTTGATAGAGTCCAGCTTCATGCTCTTTGAGTGAGCGAGGTAGGAAGCAGTGGCTTGAAAGGATGCCTGGGGATCTCAAAGGCTGGGGACATGTCTTTTTTTTCCTTCAGGCTGCCTTAACAGTTTCAAGTAGAGCTCTGTGTACATCAGGCATCAAGTTTTGCTGACATCCTCTCTCTCTGATGTGGGGATGCAGTCAAAGCCATAGAGCTATCATATAAGTCTATCTGACTGATGAGAGAGCCTTGGGATAGAAACAGTATTTTAGATGTTCCTCTAAAAGGAATGCTTATTAGAGGATCAGGTATGGCTGTTGCAGTTAATTGGGAACACTTGTCAAAGTGACAAGACGAGAGAAGCAGGTATGAGTGATCACAATTGGTAAGACTCTCAGAAGAAAGTTGGTGAGAGTAGCAGTGGTAGAGGGACCCAGACCTACAGGTGATGCTGGGATTGCTTAAGTAGCAAGACGGCCTTTGTGTTCCTGCACTGTGAAATGACAGCCTGTGCTTTACTTTAGAATTTGGATATTTTGGCTTGAATACTGTGTGTATTAAATTTGAATAATTGGTAGTTGATACAAAATTAAAGGTTTATTGCCTATTTGTAGTGATTAATATGCTATTGTTTTGGTGTTGATTCCTGGCCTAGCTGTTGGCAGCTGAAGGAAGAAAGAAGCCAGGAGACCAAAACATTGCTATGGCCATGCCACACTCTAATGTCCTTTCCCCAACTTCTCTCTGTTACAGGAACCCCTGTTTGGTTTTATATGCAAATTGCACCAATAAGAAATGAACATGAAAAGGTGGTCTTGTTCCTGTGTACTTTCAAGGATATTACGTTGTTCAAACAGCCAATAGAGGATGATTCAACAAAAGGTAATTTTCAAAAGAATTACTACATTGGAAAATTAGGCTGTTGCTAAGAGATCTTATTATTTTACCTCCACTCGTTGAACTGGAAAGCAAAATTCTACTGTGAGGCCTTTCTTTTGCTTCATTGCTTGGAATCTGTTTTATTCAATCATATTGTCGCAATAGAAATAGCATGGCTATCCAAAGTTGACATATAGATGGGTTAACTTGTAGCATAAGTAAGAAATTTTATAGAGCATTTTTGTTGTTGTTGTTGTTTTTTAGTCAAAGTCTCACTCTGTTGCTTGGGCCAGAGTGCAGTGATATTATCTCTGTTATTTCCGTCTCCCAGGCTCAAGTGATCCCCCTACCTCAGCCCCCTGAGTACCTGGGACTACAGGAGTGCACCACCATATCTGGCTAATTTTTCCATTTTTTGTAGAGTCAGGGTGTTGCTGTGTTGCCAAGGCTGGTTTCAAACTCTTGGGCTCAAGTTATCTGCCCACCTTGGCCTCCCAAAATGCTGGGATTACAGGTGTGAGCTATACACCTGGCTGAGCATTGTTAATTTTGAATCAATATAATTGGAATTTCAACACCACATACCATGGTGAGCTTTAGAACCCAAATGCAAGAATTGGTGAAATGGTTTGAGTGAAATCTAACTAGAGCTCAGTTGGTTAGTTGATTGAATTTTGTTGAATTAAAGTTGTAATAGTTGACTTTTTCAAGTTATTTTTCGGTTTTTATTTATTCTGTTGTGTAGTGCCTAGGCTATATGTTGCTAGATTATGGAAAGAATAATTTTGTCATCAGGAGAGTGGCTGGCAAAATGCAAACCTTCTGACTGTAGTCTTACTGACTAAAATAGTCAAAGAGACTGCTATAGAAACTACTAGTCAGTGGCATGTGCTTTTACCTCCTTTTCTTTGTAATTTATTCCCAATTTATTCTCTCCAATTATGTTTAGATTAGAAACTGGTGTCATATAAATGAAGAATTTCAAATAACCTTAGAAGTAGTTTTTATGAAATGTTATTTTTAATAATCTCTTAGGAAACTGAAAATAAAATGTCTCCCTCTTTGCATTTGGCAAACATCGCCTTTCCTTACTTCTTTTTAAAAAACTGGCATAGAAACTTTAATCTTTCCAACTGTAATCATAATTATAGAAAAAATCACATTAAGTTTATTCCTTGCATAGGAGCTCACGTATGTAATATTGTATCTGCTCAGTTTCTGGTTAACATCAAATTGCAAGAGGAGAATTTTTACAGTGTGTAAATCATTCAAAGTATGACAGAGAACAATTTATTTGTACTTTGAAGATCGAATAAAGTATTCGGTTTGGACCCATACTCCCTGTTTCTATGCCTTTACACATAGACTCAGTGCCTAGGAAATTTAAGATAACTATAAATACTGCTTTTAAATTGAACAGTCTTCTAATAGTATTTAGATTTAGTGCTCATTTGCTTGTTTTAACATTCGTGGTGCTCCATCCAACAGCCAGAGAATACGTATTCTTAACCTCACATGGAGTGGACCGTTCACCAGAGAGATCACATTCTGGGCCATAAAGCCTACCTTAATAAATTTTAAAAAATATAATCTTAAAAAGTATGTTCTCAGACCAAAGTGGAATTAAACTAGAAATGAATAACAGAAAGATATCTGGAAGATCCTGAAATATTTGGAAATTAAACATGTTTCTAAATAAATCAAAGAAGCAGCCTTAAGATAAGTTAGAAAAATATTTTTAACTAAAGAAAAATGAAAATGGCTGGGCGCGGTGGCTCAAGCCTGTAATCCCAGCACTTTGGGAGGCTGAGACGGGCGGATCACGAGGTCAGGAGTTCGAGACCATCCTGGCTAACACGGTGAAACCCCGTCTCTACTAAAAAATACAAAAAACTAGCCGGGCGAGGTGGCGCGCGCCTGTAGTCCCAGCTACTCGGGAGGCTGAGGCAGGAGAATGGCGTAAAAACCCGGGAGGCGGAGCTTGCAGTGAGCTGAGATCCGGAAACTGCACTCCACCCTGGGCGACACAGCGAGACTCCGTCTCAAAAAAAAAAAAAAAAAGAAAGAAAGAAAAATGAAAATACAATTTATCAAATTTGTGAGATGCAGCAAAAGCAGTGCTTAGAGGGAAATAGGTAACATTAAATGCATATATTAGAAAAGAAGAAAGACATAAAATCAATAACCTAAGATTCTACATTAGAAACTAGATAAAGAAAAACACTTTAAACCAAAGCAAACTGAAGACAAGAAATAATAAACCTTACAGCAGAAATCAATGAACTAGGCAACAGGATAACATCAGAGAAAATCACAAAAACCCAAAGCTGGTTCTTTGAACAGGTCATTAAAGTTAGTAAACCTCTAGCCAGGCTAACTGAGAAAAAAGGATAAAGACACAAATTACCATTTATCAGAAATTAAAGAAGGGCCGCTACTATTCATCCCATGGACATTCAAGCAGAATAAAGGGTTACTGCGAACAACTCTATAGCTACCATTGATAAGCTGGATGAAACAGACCAGTTCCTTGAAACATGAAAACTACCAAAACTTACAGAAGGAAAAATAGATAAACTTCATTTGCTCTTTATTTATTTAAAAAATCAATAATAATTAATAATCTTCCAAAACCAAGAAAAGACCAGGTGCAGGTGATTTCATGGTAAGCTCTACCAGTTTAGGGAAGAAATTTAGGGAAGAAATAATACCGGTTCTTCAAGTCTTTTCCAGATAATAGAAGCAGAGGGAGGTCTCTTAACTTAACTCTGAGGCAAGCACTACCCATATAGCAAAACCAGAAAAAGACATTACAAGAAAGGGAAACTACATATATATATATATATAAAAGATATATATAGTTTATATATTTATATAATACATAGATATATATAGTCATATAAAATATATATAAATATATAAATATATATATATAGTCTATATATTATATATAATATATAGATTAATATATTTATAGTCTATATAGTTTATATATAGATTATATATATGTTATATATTTATATATAGATCTATATATAGTCTTTATAATTTATATATATTATATATAGAATTATATATAATACTTTTTATATTATATGTGTGTGTGTGTGTGTGTTGTGTGTGTGTATATTATATAATTTTTTTTTTTTCTTTTGAGGATGGAGGTCTCACTCTGTTCCCACCAGGCTGGAGTGCAGTGGCACGATCTCGGTCCCACTGCATAGCTCCGACTCCCAGGTTCACGCCATTCTCCTGCCTCAGCCTCCCAAGTAGCTGGGACTACAGGCCCCTGCTACCACACCTGGCTAATTTTTTGTGTGTTTTTAGTAGAGATGGAGTTTCACCGTGTTAGCCAGTGGTCTCAATCTCCTGACCTCGTGATCCACCTGCCTTGGCCTCCCAAACCAGTATTTTTCATGAATATAGATTCAAAATCCTCTACAAAAATTAAATTCATCATTGTCTAAAAAGAATTATGACAACCAAGTGGGGTTTATCCCACTTATGCAAGGCTGGTTTAACATTCAAAAACCAATTGCTGTAATCTACCATACAAACATGTAATTCACAAAATAATGAAGAAAAGTCATGATTATGCCAGTCAGCACAGAGAAAGCACTTGATGAAATCCAGCACTTGTTCTTGATAAAAACTCTCAGTCAAGTTTGAATAGAGGGGAACTTCTCTAGTTTGATAAGAACATCTATAAAAAGCCTATAATATTCTAACTATTTTTTCTTGTACCCATTAACCATCTCCCCACCCTCCCCACCAACTATCCTTCCCAGCCTCTTGTAACCATCCTTCTACTCTCTGTGTCCCTGACATCACTTGTTTTGATTTTTACATAACTAAAAGAGCTTAATTGGATTGTTTGTAACACAAAGGATAAATGCTTGAGGGGATAGATACCTTGTTCTCCATGATGTGGCTATTATGCATTGCATGCCTGTATCAAAATGTCTCATATACCTATAAACATATACAGCTACTATGTACCCACAAAAATTAAAAAGTAAAAAAATTCTACTGCTAACAGTGGTCTATATCTTAAAGTTATATATTTTTAAACAAAAGAGAAATGATTGGTGTCAGATTTGTGACCTAACATATTCTTCAAATGAATTTTTCTTGCCTTCATGCATGAATTATAATCAGACAGAATAAAAAGCTTTGATCATAGTCTTTTCCTCTCAAAAAAATATGTATTTGTATTTGCACTAGATGATTGTTGTTTTCTCTCATTTACTTTAAGTGATTTCATGGCACAGTGAAGTTGGCCAAAGAAAGTACAGTACTTTCGCAGCAGTTTTGACCGGCTGAACCTAAGTGGTGGTGTCAGTAACTACATATCTATTTATGGAAACTGAAAGTCGGCAACATTTTGCAATGAAGTTGGGGAAAGGGTGCTGATATTGAAGGGTTGACTTTTCTTTCTGAAATTAATGCCTCTCCATTTATCTGCATCCCCACACCGGAATCACAGAATTCTTTGTAAGGCTCAGTCCCTTTGAAATGAATAATTCATTTTTATAAAAAATGATATTTGAAAAAGCTCCAGACAACTCATACTCCTTGATTTTTTAACTATGGGTTTGATAGACATGTAAATTAGAATTTATAGGGAAAATCAGACCCCATTGTGAAAAGCATTAAAGAAAAAGATCTCTTTCCAGTGCCAGAATCTGTAGATGAGTTTATTTTAAATAGACTTTTGAGACTTCTCTGTATCTTCCGAACACATAGCAGATTACCAAAAAAGTATTGTAAAATGTAACTATGAATGGTGTGTGTGAGCTGCTTTCAATTATTCATGTGAACTGTACATTTAACATGAAAAATTCAGTAGAAATAAAATATTTAAGCTATTAAGTCATCATCCTATATCTTGAAACTAGCAGTGTAGGAAAGTATGTTTTAAAATATTGGCATAAGCACCTATCTTTCAGCTTTTTAAATCAAGTAAAGGAACCATGGAACTTTTGGGAAATAATGGATGAGAT